AGGGCGCTCGCTGTTCCTCACCCTGTCCTCTCACAGACTTTCTGGGTCATGTGCTTTTTGGCGCAGAGGCAAAAGCAGAATCGGCCCCACCCAGATGCATTCCGGCGACACCGGTCACATGATCAGGCGCTACTCCAGAGGAGACGCCGGGAAAGGTCCCAGCTGGGTGAGCGAGAGTCGCTCGCGAGGCGGCTCCCGCATTCGCGCTGCATCGAGGCCGCTGGCACGCCTCCTGGGAAGTCTCCGCGTCTCTCCGAGTGTTCGGGGTCCAGCCGTGTCTCATGCCTTCAGAGCATCTCGGTTTGGACTGGCCACACGTCAAGGGCTCAGTGGCCCCGTGGCTCTCATACCAGACAGCTCGCTTTTAAGGACTCTTGGCCCTCGAAGTCCCACACGGCTCGGCGACAGTATAAGGTACATGAAGAATGAGAGTCAACAGCTGTCACAGTGGAGGAGGGTCTCTGGCCCAGCGTCTGTCCTCGTCCCTGTTCTGCGTGTCGTTCTCACCGATGGCTCGCGCACTGCGGCGCGTACGAGCCCCCTGGGCCACGCGCATGTAGGTGGACGCGTGTCATGGGCTCGTCACAACTGAGAAAGAAACAGCGCTCGCTCCGAGTCAGACCTTCCACGTTTCGGATCTCGGCTTTACCACTGCCGCACGGCCGAATGCGAGCAAGTCAATGTTCTCGTAACTTCGGCTTCATCGTCCGTACGTGGGGATGATCAGGCCAGCCTCAGAGAGTATTAGGAAGAGAGAATGAGGTGCCGCCTGTAAAATGCTAGCCCAGCACACAGAACATTCCAGGCCCTTTCCGGAATTAGGTTTTACTAGTTATTGTCACCATAGATGGCACACTTATTAATGAAGCAGGGGAGGTGGTTCTGGGGAAGGCGGGTGTTAAGTTGAAGAATCAAGTTCAGAAAGCTTCCCCGGGGAGGAGTCGATAAAACGAGGCCGAATAAAGCAAGACGAAATTTAATGATAAGTCAAAGCGTCACATTTAGGTGAAAAAACCCAGCAACACAAAAATAACCTTTCAGCTTAACTGCAGCACACACGAGAAGGGCCATTTAGTTATTCACCGACCGAATACACTCCATAGAATTGTCATCGCGCTTTTAATTGAATTCCATATGTGACATAAAACGCCAATAGTACAAAGGGTGTAAAGTAAAAGCTTAAACTTCTCCCTCTCAGACCCGCCCCCGCCTTTCCCACTCCCCGGAAGTGAAGGGCCACTTTCGTCCCTGTCCTTCCAGAATGCCCTAGGCCCGCATAAACACGTAAACACGTGTTTACCCTTTTTAAACCTTAACGCTGACGGGATAGGCTGTCTCTTGCTCTCTCGTGTAGCTTGCCTGAAAAGGGTTAACACTAAAGTCGGATTAAAGTTCAGGATTATTCAGAAGGGTGATGTGTCACCTCCAAGCCTTGATTTTAAGCTTCGAAAGAGGCAGGCGAAATGGGGAAACCAGCCAAGGCTACTCGGAACCTGTCAAACGGACCGGGACCGTTTCGCGGACATCCGGACAGGACCTTTAGAGGAAAATGCTGACGGAACAGCTCGTGTGGGAGGACAGGGGTCAAGCGGATCTGGATTCGGGCCGTCTGAAGCCGGGTGTCCCCAGAAGACCAGCTCCGGGACCTGAGGTGTGTCCCCGAGGAGGGACAGACACCTCAGACAGAGGGCGGGGCGAGCTGTTCTGGGAGGAAAGAGCCATTCAGGTGACCTCAGAGGGGTGTGCCGAGGCAGGGTGCTGTCGGTTACAAACGCCTTCTAAGTGAGGGCTCTTGTGGAGGTGGGAGAGACGAGGCCTGTGGAAGGGCATTTTAAATTAGAAGCCACCACGGAGGAGAATTATTTCTAAAAATTAGGTCTGACATTTGAAAGGCCAAGTGCGACAGCCCCACATCGCTTCGGCTGTGTCGGGGAGGCCAGTGCCCCCTTAACGACAGCGCTCACCGTGCTCGTAGGTAGCAGTGCTCCGTTCGTTCTCTCGGAGTGACACGTCGCAGCGTGACTGCAGCAGAAGCAGACAGAGGAGGGAGGGTCGACAAGAACGCCCCGCCACATTAACCCCGGCGTGTTCGCGCT